TAGTTTTTGGCTGGGGCAGGGTTTAAACCTACCACCTCCAGTATATGGGGCCGGTGCCCTACTCCTTGAGCCACACGCACCACCCTCAGCAAATGTTTCAAGTGGAACAAAATCTCTTACTGAAATTTCAAAACAAAAAATATTTCTAGAATTTTTCTTTCATTTTAGTACATGATCCAGAAAGATATCTAACTGATGCCTTTTTTCAAATGTGATATTTGTTTGTCTTATGAGTATAGATAAGTAAAGTCTTGCATGAATTTCGTGGGGAGTACTTGTCAGCTTTGGAAACTCAAAAATACCGGAGATCAACCAACACACACACACACACACACACAAAGTCAGGAAATCATCAAAAACTTAGATTATTGTTTCTACTTTACAACCATTAATAACTATTCTGTGATATTGGCTAAAATTTCTCTGCTCTCATTTCTAAACTCTTAGTGCAGGGATTTAGCAAGGATTCCTTGTAATCTATGCTCTAGGGTGTTTCAGGGGCCCATGTTGTGGGGTAGTGGGAGAGGGGATCTGAGTTAATCAGAAGTTTAGAATGAAGAAGACATAAATTCAGGCAAAGTAGCTTTCTCATGGATACTGGTCAAATTGATGTTGGTAACTTGTTTTTAAAAGAATCTCTAGAGGCCAGGGTTGGTTGAGGAAGCAATGTAAACTATATGAGGTACCATCTTCAAAGAGGAGGGACTCATGTACATAAAAGAAACTATATTGTTACATTAAAGTCTCATAGCAATGATTTTTTTGTTTGTGTTTGAGACAGAGTCTCACTACATCGCCCTAGGTAGAGTACTCCAGCGTCTTAGCTCACAGCAACCTAAACTCTTGGACTTAAGCAATTCTCTTGCTTCAGCCTCCCAAGTAGCTAATACTACAGGCACTTGCCACCATGCCTGGCTATTGTTTTTTTTTTTTTAATTGTCATTGTCATTATTGTTTAGCAGGCCTGGGCTGGGCTCAAACTCACCAGCTCAGGTGTGTGTGCCTGGTGCCCTAACCACCGAGCTACAGGCACTGAGCTGCAATGCTTTTTAATATTTATTCACTGTAACACTGTAGATATAAAACACTATAGTAATGACAATAAAGAAAAAATGAAATGCTCATTAACTTTAAGTGAAGAATAAGATGGAAGAAGTCACACTAACATTACTTTTCTCATACAAATAAAGGTACAAATTGTTTTTAGTATATAACTTCTTTATACATAAAAATGATTTAAATGCAATTTGAGTTATATAATTTTTTTCTCTCTTTAACCGATAAATCCTTTCCTTATATTTTCTTTGTAAGATTAAATGAGATAATATAAAAACAATCTGGAATCTTTTGTTTTAATGAACATTAGTTCCATGGGATATAAATAGGTAAAAAGTGAGTCCAATAATCAAATAAAGCTGGGTTAAATCACATTAAATACTTTTCCCCCCTGTGGGACCTCTCAGAGCCATTACTATGTTGATAAGAATAATCTATGAGTGGAGTCTAATTTACAGTGTTTCCCAATTTTTGTACATGATTCTCTTTTTGGAGATGATCAGATGTTTCAGAGAACATGCTAAAAAATACAGTTTGTAGGCTCAGCGCCATAGCTAAGTGGTTAGAGCACCAGCCACATACACCAGGGCTAGTGGGTTCCAACTCGGCTGGGGCCTGCTAAACGACAATGACAAATGCAACGACAACAACAACAACAACAACAAAAAACAGCCAGGCGTTGAGGCAGGCACCTGTAGTCCCAGCTACCTGGCAGGCTGAAGCAAGAGAATCGCTTAAGCCCAAGAATTTGAGGTTGCTGTGAGCTGTGATGTCACAGTGCTTTACCTAGGGTGATATAGTAAGATGCTGACTCAAAAAAAAAAAAAAAAAAAAGAAAATATAGTTTTTAATATGGCACTTAAAATCATGATAGTTTTATAATCATCAACTAGAAAATGTAAAGGAAAGGAAGGGAAGGAAGAAAAGGAAAGGCAGGTAAAGGAAAACAAGAAAAATATGTCCAGGGCTTGAGCAAAACATCAAATGGTTAATAATACTTCAGTCACAGTACTATAAGGACGTTTGACATTTGCACCTGAGTGTTTATAGCAGTCCGATTTTTAATTGCAAAGATGTGGAAACAGGGCGGTGCCTGTGGCTCAAAGGAGTAGGGTGCTGGCTGCATATACCATAGGTGGCAGGTTCAAACCCAGCCCTGGCCAAAAACCGCAAAAGAAAAAAAAAAGATGTGGAAACAACCCAGATGATCTTCAACACATGAATAGATTAATAAATTGTGATACGTGTATACCATCGAATAATATTCACCCATAAAAAGATAGAGATTTTCTATTTTCTGTAGCAACCTGGAAGGATTTGCAAAACATTCTCTTAAGTGAATTATCACAAGAATGGAAAGACAGGCATCCAATGGACTCAGTACTTACAACCAGTAGATTAACAACTACATGCTCACGTGACAGAAGAACTGAATTCAATTCAAGTAGGAGGGAGGGGGTGAAAGGGTTGAGAAAATTCCCATCCTATGGGTACATTGCATAGGTATAGTGCACACAACCCAGACTTAAACCTCACAAAACCAAACTATGGAACCTAATCATATGTGCCTTAATATTAACCTGAAAAATCTAATAAACTTAAATATTAAGAAAAAATAACCAGAATTCATAAAATCTAACATACAAACTATAAAACTCAAGCAAAATATAAAGATGCTACAAAAAGCTTTTTTTTCTTTTTGACATGGAGTCTCAATTTGTCATCCCTTGTTGAGTCCATGGCATCATAGCTCACAGCAACCTCAAACACTTGGGCAGAAGCAA